TTTTATAAAAGTATATATGAAGATTTTGAAATTAACTGTAAGAAATCCTCCCATGGGAAAGTTTGGCTGACTGAAGAATAAACATATGATAAGAAGGGACTTTGAAGGTTGACTAGAGGGAACCAGAGATTAAATAAAATATTAAAATTAAAGGAGAAGAGAGCAATATTACTTGACTACAGAAGAAATTAAAGCTGTCCAGGAACAATGTACTCAGAAATTACTTTCAAAACTATCTGCCACTATAGAAATGGATATAAGAGTGATTACAGAAGAGGAACAGACTTTACAGGATAAATTAGAAACTGAGGCTAATTTGAATGTGGATTTGAAAACGGATTTTAAAAAATGCCAGACTACAAGAGTGATATGGAAGAAGATGATGTGGATTTGAAAACGGATTTAAAAATGACAGACTATAAGAGTGACATGGGAAAAGATGCCATGGTGGATTTACAAATGAAACTGGCTGATGTTTTAATAACTAAAGGGGACATACAAATAATAAATCATAAGAGTGACTTAAAGTTAGTGAATGGCATAGAAGCTGTTTTAATGAAAAGCAGAGGGGTGCTGTGATAGTCCTGAAGCACCTTCTGATTCTTTTTTGAAGTAGGTGCAGTCCTAGAATTGTTAAAAAATAATTGCTCCTGGTTCATTGGATATGAACCCAATCAGCTAATTAATAGCAATATGGATACAGCTGTGACTACTGGCTGAAACAGATAAAGGGTCAGCAATATAAGGAATGGACCAAGACTAAGGTCCTTTCATCTTGTGTCCATCTTGCAATAATAGCCTTATAGAGAAGAGGCCCTTTGATATTGCTGGATCATTTTCTATTTTGGTTTTTACACTTAAAGTCTTTAGGTATTTCTATGCCTAAAAAAATTATGTTTGAAAAGTAAAGCTGAAAAATACACACACAACTTACCACTCTGATGAATTCAAAAAGTTCAATGACTGCTGAATTCAAGAGATTATACCTAGTTCCATTATCCAGAAGAGCATTTATGACTGGTTCAAATAGGTTTCCTTTGGTAATATAACGGTTATAAAATTCATCTTTTAGGCCAATTATCCTCCTCATGAAACGAAGAGCACCTATAATGTTAATAAACATAAACATAAAGCAGAGCAGCAAAAAGGTTGTACAAGAATGCTCATATATAAAAAGGAGTATACAAATACAATTACCCCAGTGATCTAACCAAGAGCAGTTACACTACTTCTGAAATGTAGAAGTATTTAAAAAATACAAGCAGAACCGTTTAATTAATGAAGGGTAAGAAAGTTGATTATGGAATGCTAAGTTTTGTGCTGAGGACATGCTTAATCTACAGCTTTCTTGTAAACCCCTGGGAATCTTTGTGGAGCCAGCAGTATAGAAACACTGCAAATAAATAAATAATAAAATCCAATATCTAGATTTTTTTAAAAAATCCATCTTGACATTTGAGGCTATCTCCTCCTCCTCTGTTGCTTTTTCTCACTGCCTCATTGCCCATCTAGTGGGAAAGTTTTGAGTTGCAGCTGCAGAGAAAAAAGGTTGGCAGAAAAACTGGGTTTGAAAATAAAGATCCTATTTACTAATTTTCTTTTAAACAAATTCCTGCTGGTTTGTGCTCTCTATTGCACAAAATAAGCCGTGGGTCAAGATAGAGTATTAGATGGTTGTGTGCCTGTAAGGCTGTATGAATGTATTTTAAAACTGCAGTTGATAACTGGGAAAATTAGGACTGATTTCTTGAGTGGAGAATTGGTATGTCCTCTAATTATGCAGGAAACATTAAGGGGGGCGGGTGTCAATGTTTAATTTTCATAAAAAGACACACAGGGATTTAGGTTTGTGCTATTCTTTTTAATTCTCCATGTGGAGGAGACAGATTCCATTTTTACATTAGAAAAGGCACTCAGCATATGCTAAGAGACCATAGCTGTGACTGATAAAATAATGACACTTATTAAGACTAAATACAATTTATGGGCTCACTTCAGTTGCATTATTTCTTATATACATGGAGCAGAAAGCACTCTGAAATTATCCTGGACAAGCCATAAGAGGAAAAAAACTGATCAAAAGTTTTAATGCTCTTCTATCAAGTTCACAAAGTACTACAACATTATTTGGATACAAGAAGACTTACTCGCATGTGAAGCTAATTACTGACTGTCTTTATGAGTAAGGTTTTATCTATACAGGACTAATGAGAACCTAAAAGATTTCCTGAATCACTTGCAGACATTTTACTGAACCAAGGTACAATCTGGAAGTATTCAGTTAATTCCCAACATTGTGTTTTGAAATTAAGTGCTGGTTCACATGAGGACAGGAATTTATCTTGGGAACGAGAATACAGTGGTACCTCTACTTACGAACGCCCCTACTTACGAAATTTTCGAGATACGACCAGCTCCGGCCCCAAAAATTTACCTTGATGTGCAAGCTCCACCTCGAGGTACGGCCATTTTTCCACCCTGACATGTGATCCGCGGCCATTTTTCCGTCCTGACACGTGGTCCGCGGCCATTTTTCCGCCCCTGACACGTGGTCCGTGGGCGTTTTTCTGCCCGCCGTGTGGCGCGCGGGCGTTCTGCCGCCCCACTGCACCGATGCGCAGCGCGTGGGTGCTTTTCCGCCTGATGCGCAGCGTGCAGGCGTTTTGCTGCCCCGCTGCGCGCGGGCGCTTTTCCGCCCCTGACACGTGGTCCGCGGCCATTTTTCCGCCCCTGACACGTGGTCCGTGGGCGTTTTTCTGCCCGCCGTGTGGCGCGC